GCTCACCTGTCGTCCTTGCAGCAGAGGTGGTGGAAACCCCATTGAGCTCACTCGGACTCCTCTTCACCGGCCGGGGCTTGTATTCTCGTCTGGGGACATTGGACGCCGCTGATATCCTATAACACACATTGGAAGCGGAGTCAGACACCTGCCAAGACAAGAAAGCCTGCAGCACACGGCTCTGCACTGGTGAGCACACAGGTAACCTAGGTTACCACAGGCATCTCACACATTGGTTCCCGAGTTTGCCAAAGTGACAGAGGTGATATCTCAGGTGCTATCCAGAGTACCTCACAGGGCTTCTCAGTGAAACTCACCTTGAAGAAAGCTACAGTATTTGACCTCATAACACCCCAGAGCCTCGGAGTAAGCAGCCGCATCCTTCTGCTAGAGGGAGCTTGGGGGACAGCTCCTCTGGGAGCCAGAAGTAGGTGCTCCTGAAAATGGACACACACTTTGCCTCCCTCTAGACAGGTGCTTATTCTACTGAGCTATCTTCCTGGCTTGCCTCCCTCTAGAACAGCACTGACATAAGTGAAATCTTTCCAAATATATTCATTACCATAATGTTGCATAAAATAGTTTTCTGTTATCAAGCCTGTTTCAAAACACAGGGAGAAAAAATTTTTAATCCAATATTTTAATTTATAGGATTTCTGTGTATACTACATATAGGATCATTAATTTTATGAAAACTATAGGATACATTGATCATGAAAGCCATTGGGCACATTTCTTTGATGTTTAGAAAGCTCTCTCAGTATCTCTTAGTATCAATCTTTGAACACAACCTGATATTTTTACTGATGAAGTAGAAATCCATCTTTTCCACAGCTATTCACACATTTTCTGAGTATCATCTCGGTCTTCTCCACATATGGGAGCGGGTTTTGCCACCTGCTGCCATCCTGGCTTGTGAAGAGGGAGCTGAATGCTCCGCAGCAAAGCTGGGACAGCTCAGGAGAGGCCCACAGGAAGGTTGGCCCCTCTGTCTGGCCCCTGTACATACAGGTCACAGCACAGGGGCTTTAGGAAAAGAAATAGGAGTAAAGCTGCCAGAGATCCTTTCCCACCTTAGCCCCATCCCACACCTAACCATGATGCCAGCTATACAAAGTAGAAGCAGGCAGAGAAAGGGGAAGGTGGGGAGCCAGAGGGAGCAGAAGGCCCTTACCGCATCTGCAGCTTGCTCTGTAGATCCTGTAGGATCTCTGTGGACTGCTTGTGATAGTCTAGTGCGGCTTCCACAAACACAGCCAGCTGGGTGACTTGCTCTACCTGCAGCAGAAGGGCAAAATTACTTCCACAAAGGCCAAAACGTAGGCAGGGTCTGGAGACGAGCAGCAACACAGACCGCCGCCTGGAGCCTGCGTCTGCCTTAGTCCCGCCTAGGTCACTGGGGTCCATCTCAGAGCCTTGCACAATGACCATACAGGTCGTGGCATGGAGCTGAAGATGCTGGAGAACCACCTTGTAACCTAGGTGTGATCATGAGTTGGATGTAACTCTATAAAACGCTTTCTTTGCTAATCAGCACTGATATCCCTGGGGGATTCTCATGCTTATGGCTCACAAATCTGGAAATGAAAGCAGTTTTCCCTGAGACAAGTGAGGCTAACGTTTACTAAATGAGCTCACTTAGCAAAGTGCTTCTTGGAGCACTTTCTAGATTAAAAAAAAATGAGAAACAAAATTAAGAAAAGGGTGCAGGGTGCAGCATGCTCCTGGGCAAAGAACTGCCAGCCTCTGTCCCCTTCCCCCCAGGTTTTTGCTGCTACCAGAACAAAATGTTTGCTCTAAAATACACAGGTGAAAGGAATGAAAAAACAGGCATATCTCTTTCCTACCAATGGGCACATCAAAATGAGTGGACAATTTACAGAGGAAGTTTGTTGTTGTTTTTTTTAAGGGGCTATGCTGTGTGAGACATATGCAGAAACCCTGGAGACGCATGATTTGAGGAAGAGCAGTCTTTGAGAGTACCTGAATGCTCTCCTGGCTGAGAACTAACTGCGCAGGAAATAAGGGTTAATTAATTCAGCTTACTTCTAGAGGCCAAGGAAGCAAGCCCCAGAGGGCAGCATGGCCCCCCCAGGCCCCAACCCCAGCCCCAGTGACTCCAGATCTGGACAAAGACACAAATCCCTCTTCCCAGACTTCCGCTAAGCCTCTGCATGTCATACATCACCTTCTAATCAGCTTTGGGGCAGTCTAATCTGTCGGGTATTCATTCAGACTTCCATATCCCACATCATAGCCACGGCCTTGCCTTGAGAGTTCCAACTGGTTTTCTTTTCTTTCCTTTTTTTAATGTAGTTGGTACAGGGTCTCACTATGCAGCTTAGACTCACACTGATCCTCCTGTTTTCAGCCTCCCCAGCGCTGGGATTACAGGTGTGCACCACCATGCCCAGGCTCAGTAGCTGCTCAGCGTACCCGGGGGCGGGGGCCGGCATGGCTGATGGTCTCGGGGATCGAACCCCAGTTCCTGAGCTTACCTAAGCAGACACTTAGTCTGCTGAGCTATCTCACCAGCCCTTCCAGGTGGTTTTCATGTGTTGTTGCAAACCATTCTTTAGTTGCCTGTTCTCTAAATTTTCTTGCCCACTCATGCTATTTTAGCCATGGCTCAGGGTGCACTTAAGATATACATGGGATGCTGCTTGTGCCAAGTTAGCATGTGAACAAGGACACCCATCCTGTTACATTTCCTTTACCATGCTGTGGCTGGAAAAGCAAAAACAGCATTAAATTTCTCCAATCCCAGTAAAGAAAACAAAGACAGCCTGGCCCCTATAACATCCTAAAGCTCTCTTAAATTTCACCTCTTTGGCTTTTACACATAATTTCAAGTAAGTCTGGTGTCATGGCCTAACATGATCATGGCAGAATTCACCACAATTTCTTCCTACAAGTAAGGCTGGAGCTGTGTACTTGGTAAAATCTGTGCCACACCTCTCTGTCTTTAGTAAAATTAATGTCTAGTTTTATATCTCATTTTGATATATTTTTTTTTCTTTTTTTGAGACAGGGTCTCACTATACAATTCAGGCTGGCCTTGTGCTCACTTTTGGAGCCCCCAGGCTGATCTTGAACTCACAGTGGTCCTCCTGTCTCAACCTCCTGAATGCTAGGATTATAGGAGTGTAACACCACACCTGGTTCTGGGGCCAGCAGGGCATGCCAGTCCTTGGATCTAACTTGGGACCTTGTGTTTGCCAGATAGGTGCTTATGCCTCTGAGCTATCTCCCCAACCCCATTTTATAATTTTTAAAGGAATAATGAGAGATAGTTAAGTGAATATTTCTTGAAATATATGTGGGGCTGGGCGCAGGGCATTGGGACCAGCAGCTCTTCTCTCTGATGTGGCCAGGACACATGACTATAAGCCCTACAAATGCATTTGTAACTCTGAATCTGGTGGTGGCTTTGGGCAGCCAACAGATCCCAAAGCCCCTTAGATCTTGGGGACATCAGCGGCAGCACACAATGTCTGCACATAGCATGGGCTCAGCACAAGTCCTGGAAAGACACTTTCCAAGCTGTCTCTCACATTAACTGGGAAGACAATGGGGCCGCCTTCTCCTGTTCCCACTGCCAAGAGATGGGACCCTGCAGCTCACGAGCACCCAGCTGTGTGCTGGAGACCAGCATGGGCAGCCTCTGCTTCCCAGGCCACAATGAACTAAATATCTGCTCAGGCAGAACCAAGATAAAGCCACAAAGCCAGGCTTCGCAAGAACCCAAACCTGTCCGGTGGCTCAGGCAGTTCTCCCACCAGCCACACTACTCAACGTGGCAAGCTGCGTTGCCACAAGAGGTAAGAAGGCTGGAGCAGAGGCAGAGCTGGCCTGCCCCTTCTGCTGGTGCCACCTCACAGGAACTGTGAACACAGACTACAGAAAATTCTGATGACACTGGAAGAGGACACTCCCCCAGACAATTACCTCCCTCCCATCTCTGGAAACGAGGTGCACCAGCTCCCGCTAAGACACACGAGGGGAGAAACCCACACGGCACACTGACTTCTCTGGAAACTAGGGGCCATGAAGCCCAGGCAATGTGGCTGACAATGCAGGGGCTGAGACCAGGAAGGGGCCCAGGAGGTCTGTACAACCGTAAACCCAGAAGAGCTTGTAGCAGGCAGAACAGTGGCCAGGATGCCCAAGTTCTGATTCCTTCAACCCGGGAGCATGTTGCTGTGCAGAGCAAAGGGACTTTGCAGACCCCACCCTGCTAAGGACCTCAGATGGGCGCTGTATCTTGGCTTGTCTGGGTGGCACCACATAATCCAGGAGTCCTCCCAGGAGGATACAGGCAGCTCAGAGTCACAGCAGATGTGACAGCGGGGGTGGGGAAAAGATCAGAGCAGCAGGTCTGAAGAGGCCCTGCTATTAGCTCTGAAGGTGCAGAGCTGAGGAATAAGCCCAGCAGCCCTGAAGCCCAAGCGGCCTCTAGGGGCAGAAAAGGCAAAGAATTGGATCCTTCAGAGCCCTCAGGAGGAAAGCAGCGCTCATTCCCAGGTCCTGCCATTAGGACTTCTGACCTCCAAACAGATAAATTTCTATTGCATTAAGCCATTCCTTTTGTGGCTATTTGTCACAGGGGCCACAGGAAGTGAATATAGAGCCACCTTGGCCTATTCTCAAGTCTAAGACAACCCAATGACAGGCTGGTGCTGGCCAGGGTCCCGTGTCACCTGATGGCTCAGGCAGTGAATGTGGAGGCGATAAGGCCACTGCCTGGGCCTGGGGATTTCACCGCTGCTTCAGCCCTAACTCTCTTCCTGTGCATAGGAGAACCACAAAACAAAACTCCTTTCTGGGTTGTGACAGCTTGTGTGTCACCTACAGATGCATTTAACTTTCAGTTCTCGTTAGCTGCAAACCAATGCATCACTACCAGTATATGAGGATACTGGTAGGACTAGGCCCTGGGGACAGAGGCCAGTCACAGAGGTCCCCACCCATGAATGAAGGGTGCCAGAAGTTCTCAGGAACAGTGGAAATTCCAGGCACACCAGGGTACCATTACCCTGGTGCCATTATTCTGGCCTCAGAGACCGACAGCAAAGGATTTGGGCTGTCCCCAAAGCAAAAAGGGCTCAAAGGAAGGCAGCCTCCAGGAAGTGCTCTACTTCATTTCACTTCATGTGAACAAAGCAAATAAAAGTGGGTGACTAGAATCATACCTCAAAACAATGTTGGTACTTCTCGGGAATTCAACTCAAGTTCTCTATGGAAAATGTAGGTCGCTTCTCTACTCCACATGTTCATTCACTCAGATGATCAAGTCCACAGAATGCTGGTGTAAGAGAGATCTTGTCCCTCAAGTATCTGCCTCACAAGCAATGCCCAATTAGCCAAATGCAACTTGCCTCAGGCCCTGAGCTTCCCTGTGAAACCACAAATGCCATGGGCAGCCTCCAACACAAAAGCTGGACTAGCCTGCAATCTTGAGATGAGCCAGTGACCTGGCCCTGCTCAAAACATCTCTGAAACAATCCTGGGATAAACAGGACCTCCCAAGAATTAAGACTCCAGCCAGGTTTTGCTGAATGTCTGAAGCCACCTCAGAGACAGGAGATAATGGTTCCAGAACATTCTGGAAACTTCCATCACAACCAGCTCTTTAGAGCTTCTCAACATGCTGATCACATTCACTCACATTAAGGGCTCCTGTTGGGTGTAAATACTTACATCATTTTCTAAAAAATTAAACATGCTTCTTTCAGCCAACTCCTTTGACTCTTCAAACTTTTCTACTGCTTGTCTGACTTCTTCGTCTGGAATCTTACCTACTCGCTTCTTTTTATAATCGTAATCCAGGCGGCGGCCCTCCAGCTTTTTCAGGTGGTGCTAAAAAAGGAAAAGAAG